TAATATTAAAATTGTACCACGGTATTACTAACTATTTACACGACATCTGTGGATTTTTCCATTTCAATTTGTTTTAATTGCATAACATGTTTTTAGAGATATTTTTGTAGATACAATTTATAGTTTTGCGAAACGCTTTAAAAAAATAAATAAGTAAATAAAATTATCGTTTCTTTTCTAATTGATGCCTGAAGATCRTAGTACAATGCTTGACCTCCACGGCTTGGATAAATGRTGTCCCATTTCATTYTCATTACCCCTAGCAAGGATTAACACCCGAAGCCTCGTTAAGTTGTAAGAAATTTCTTTCAAAGCAAGTAAAACTTTGCATTTACGAGAGTTTTTCATCGTGTTTAAAATTGCTCATGACTTCAATAATTCAATTGTCTTGTTTTCTGGTTGACTGAGCGTGTGTTGAACCAACCTGTCGCAAATAAGAACACATTACCAAACAAAAAAAAAACGTCAACGACAGGTACCCCTGGACAAAGAAATCTCTGTACACACAAATGACTTCTGTAAATAACAACAGCATTCATCGGTTCGACTTTTGCTACTTTAACAGACTAATGTGACACTCACTAATTAACAGCAAGAAACACGAGGTACAAAGAGGAACGGTCCAAGTATTGAGTCCTTAGGGGAATACATCGTGGTTTTTAACGTTTTAACGAAATGTTGCGATCCAGTCGGAATCACCAAAGAGAAACGGTGACTTTCCTTCTCGCTGTGGTGACTCTGTTTGTAGTTTTAATCGTTAGAAATGGTGGCAACTATTACATGAGTTATCTTTACCAAGACGCTTCGAGAGCGCAATTCGAGATAGATCAATCTTACGTGCTTTTGATCTCGCAAGCTGAAGGGTTTCAAACTCATTCCACAGGAATAGACAACARGGAACATTACAATGCTACTCTTCTAAGGGAATTTAAGGAAAAAGTTGTACAAAATCCCACAATTTCAGTAGAAATCAAAGCACCTGAAGGATTTCAAGGACATGAAGTAATAAGGGAACTCCTCCACGGCAAGAGGGAAGGGTTGTTTATTCATTGTTGCTATTCTKCGTCAGACACCGTGACAAAAGCGTCTCAACTACACGCAGCGTACGGCTGGACTTCTCTTCTTATGGAAGCCGACTTGGAAAAATATCGCGTTCTTTTGTCTAAATATCAYAGTTTTTYWWTTGCAAAAGCTATTCTTTCTTCGCAAATTAACTCCACAACGGCTTCTTTGAGCAAAAAGGTGAAAGACACTATTAAAAATACAAATTCCTTGACATCAAAAGAATCAGAAACACAAGATTTTCCTTTAGACTTCGTTGCTAAAAGTTTCGGAAGAACSTCTKTGGATTGGTTGGTTTTGAGCTCGCGAGGAAGCGAGTATGGTATYTTAAAAGCMACTCTCTTAGAACAATGTCGAGTGCAGGTTATTAGCACAGACTTAAACGCAGCGGTAGAGAAGTTATTACTAGACAATGGTTATATAAAATGGCGGGATAATGGCGTTACGGGGATTTTTTATAACGAGGAACTGGTTTTGAAAACGCCTGAGAAACACGATATGTCGCCATTGCTGGAAAAACTTCGTCAAGATAAAATGAATCGATTTGTCGATTATGACAACTGACGAAAACGATTAATCGAACTTGATACTACTATGAAWCGATTTTTAATGCAACTTYACCCAAATAACAATTTTATGTTAATTCGCGCACTAAATCCGTGAACATCAGCACTAGCTTGTACGCGATTTTGTAYTATGATTCCTCTTGTTTCACGCATTTTGTGCAARTACTCGTAGCTCGCTGATATTAAAGAATTTTAATTTGTTTAATGGTCAAAACTCTACTATCTATGTATAACATCGTACATTCTGTAAAAAATATAACATTTTATATAAACCGTCAGCCGATTTATGCATGATTTTGGTTAAGTCCTCTTTATAATGAAACGTATCAGGGCCGGATCCAGGATTTTCCTCAGGGAGGGGTGCAGGGCTCTCAAGAGGGGGTGCAACCCAGAAAAATCGTTACTGTTGAAGATACAAAATAAGTAAAGTATTGAAGGATAGAGATCTCAGGAGGGGGTGCATACCCCCTGCACCCACTGGCTGGATCCGCCCCTGCTTATCCATATTCCCTGGCTGTTTTCACTGATGACATTGCTTTTTTAATCGACTTCGCCGTTCTTTCCGATTGTTTTTGGAATCCAGAATATCACATAGATATTTCTAGATTCCTTATGATTTTTTTTACATAAAAATAATTCTAAATATTTTTTTCTATATTGAGACAAAGTCTGCAAAACAATCACATTGTGACCAAGTACGTGACTGTCACTCTACGTGACATGGTATTGCGTAATTGTCTATACTTCCACATCAAATATATAAATTTTCTCTAGCAAGTGAATTAAATTATGTACAAAATTAGAAAGCTAATTCACGACTTTTCATACTCAGGTTCAGTGACCACGAACAAACCATTGAAACGAGGCGTCAAGATACAGTGAACATAAAAGAAAAAATCTGTGTTCAGTGTTCCTTGACGCCTCAGTTCAATGCTTTGTTCATAGTCACTGAACCTGAGTATGGAATGTCGTGAATGAATAAACCCCCTCCCCTCCCCTCCCAGCCTAGAAATAGAGCCTTCACTGTGACTAGAGTTACTTTTTCTTCAAAGTAAACCTTGTTTTTTGGTGTCGTTCCTGTTTAGGAACAACAATTGGTGGTTTCTTCAGCTCTATTGCCTTTGATAGGATTTTCTGGATATCAGTCTCTGGATAGTTCTATCAACAGATAAATAAAATGCTTAACAGTYAGGTATAGACATATGTAACTGTGTAATAATTATCTGTCAATCACACACACACAAATGTATGGCAAAGTCTGTCTATGTATCCAACTAAAGTCTGTCTGTGTGTCTAGATATATGTCCATATGTCCGTCCATCTTAAGCTGTAGTGATTTTTTTTTACTCACTTGTAAGAGTTTCATACTTTGGACAAAGTCACCCACAAGTAGCTGGTCACGTATTACACTGAAAATACAAGAGTCCTTATTTGGTTATCACTAAGTAAAAACAAGAAGACATTATTTAGCTGAAAGAACAATACAGTCTTCCCTCGCTCTAAAACTCCACCCTCCYTYCCAWTTAACAAACTCCTGCCTCTGTTCATCAACCTAAAATTCTCTCCATCACTCCTCCCTTACTCTCTTCTTCGCTACCCCAATCATCACTAACATTACATCTATTACCATTACCCCTCACTTAACTCTTCCTTAATCAACAAATTTAATGTTCTACYCACCACAATACATAACACAACCACCCAGCTCCAAACTACTTCACCCTCATCTCTCCTCCCCTCTACTTATCATCCATTCCTCAARCCATCCATTTATTCCCTTCATCATGTCTTCCTTGGATAGAAAGTACTTACATATGCATTGCACAGCAAACAAAGATAAGAAATTCAAATCGCTTTTCATCAGCAAAAAGGGAGTCCCATACTCGTATCACATCTGAGAGAGAAATTAAAGTTTAGAATAATATATGTTGTCATCTGTAAATTGATGAAAAGRKAYYCAAAAAGTCAACTAATTTGGTACAATTATTAGGTTAATATTGGTGRGGAAATACCTGGGAGGTCAAACTCCTGTGAAAGCATTAATGTTAACCATCTAAAAGTGTAAAACTGTGGCTTCATTTGCTGTTTTTCCTTTAAAGATAGTAARATATATCACATGTTACCATGGAGACTGCCTCCRCACCAAAAAACTAACAGTGTGTGATCTATCAAATGTGGCAATTATTGAGTGAGTTCAATGGATTGGTGGTACAAATGGCTATAGAGTGATTTTAATGACTGTAAAATACTGTATCATAGTAGAAGAGTACTATAAAACCCCTGAGGAATGTTGGTAAAGTGTCTCTAGTGACAGCAGAAAGCTGTAAAATGGATACAGAATGARTGAAGTGGCTGATAGAATGCTGTAAATCATTGCGACCAAATGATAGAAAAGAAAAAGGTAAAAGGAAACAAGAACAAGTCATTACGAGAAGGGGTAATGGACACAACTTACTAATGAAATATAAAGTTCAAGATCTTTTTCTCTAAGTAGATTCAATACACGCTTCATCATATTCCCTGTACACAAAAAAAATGTTTTGATATTATTCCAGATACTTAGAATTTAATATTGATAGTTGACAAAATGTTATGTGTTATGTTTTTTATTTCAAAGTACTTACCTATACCCGTTGCTGATTCATCTAGACTTTTTATAAAATTATCCCTTATTTCAGACATCAAATTGGTGAAACAAAAAAACGAGTCTGCCTCAGCATGAGCTGTAGATGGGAAACGCTTAGTTTACATAAATATCAAAATGGAGAAAAGTCAAGTATGATCCTGCTTCATAAGGAACTGATCTCATTAAATGTTCATCCGTTCATTTGTTTGTTCATTCCTTTGTTTTTTCCTTATTTTTTCATTCATTCATTAATAAATTCAGTGACTCACCTTGCCACTCAGGATTTGAGTGGGAAGCAAATATGTAGTACAGAGGGCCAAGAATCTCATTCATACCCTAATAAGGATAAATAATGAGTAATAATGGTAAGAACATTGGCTTCTTCTGTCTATGATAACAGTCTTAAATTTATACTCCTAGTCAAGAGCACCTGGGTCTCTGAGGAAAATTATGTCAAAAGACTTTTGATAATTCCACAGATCAAGCAAAATCCTGATTTGGGAATCCTCAGGAACCGAAACGTAATCTTCCATCATTCATTTATTAGTCACTTCCAAAATTTACTTAATTCTGGGAGTGAGGAACACACAATAGAAGATTATTCCTGGGTCCCGAGAGATTTGGATGACCATATCATTTTTCAGCTAAGGCRATCAGCCGTATTTTCATTGACCAAGTGACTTTTAAGAACTCACCTGTACATAAGAAATCCCTGGATTCAGTTTTGCATATATGAAGAGAATTCTTTCTACAACCTAATGAACAAATAACAAACAAAACATATCCTAGTATAAGTGAAATGAAGGTTAGTATATTCGACTTTCAATAAGCCATTAAAAATGGCTAAAATAAACATTCCCTCACTGTCACTGCTTGGCAGCTTTGGCACTGTGAAGACTTTGCATTCAGTTGAGTTTAATAATATTTCCACTTACTTCCCAATGTGCCTCTTGACCCTCTTCTAATACACTGTATTCTTCTGTAGCAACCTTTTTCAACTTGGTTGATACCTGTCATTTACATAAAGATTCTGACTGGCTATTGAAGCTCCTTCCCTGTATTCCTTTTCCTGGGMTTCCTGTGTCTCCAGATCAAAATGAGAACAGGAATCCCAACAAAAGGAATGGCTAGTAAGGAATCTAGACTGACTGAAGCAGGTTAAAGATGAAAGTAATCAAAAATATTTATTGTGCACATATTTCTAAAAACAATGAAACTAGACTGAGATAAAATTAATGTTTTTTTAATTATTTACACAATACTTTTTCAATCAAAATAATGACTTACATTGGTTATTCCTACTCTACTTGTGTTCACATGTGAGGCCTCTAAGTGCTGGTTTTGAACACGCTTTTGCAGAGTTTCAAAATCAATATCATCACCTATAAACCATTATATAACAAAAAGTAAGCATAGCACACTTATATCAAGTCCTTTTAATTGTTGGCAAATGTGTCTTAAAAATGAAAACATTGAAACAAGGATTAAGGAACAAATGATTGATGCTCATTATGTGTGTTTTTGGTGACCATTGAACTGACTGAAGTGTGAAAGGTCATTGATAACCACAGTCTSAAAAGAGACTGAAGACTACAAGCCTGAATAATATCAAGCCTTTTGAATACGTAGGCGTTTGCCTGCACTGAGGAAGAACTATCATGGAAAAGAGAAGTAAAATGAACTAAACTTACCCATCATTTCCTCGTTAGGATATCTTGTCGCCATTTGGAAAAAGGAAATGTCAGGGAGAAGCCTCCTAAAAGAAGATGAAGAAAACTTTCAAAAGATATTACTCATTTAAAATAGTCTACAGACAACAATATACCTGCAGTCCTTATCGATTTGTAAAAGAGTTTCATTGTCTTTGAAGTATCCCACCCATCCACTGTCTGGATTTGGATTCAATGGCTTATAAYAATAAACAAAATCAGTTAAACATTATAATGAAAATATTAATTAAATCTGAAATGCTGTTTCCATTGCTACAAATAATGATAAATTGGCCAAAGAATCTAGAAACTGCTGGCTTTGTAGGAATTATCATTGATCCAAAGCACTTCAGATGATTAAAAAAAACTAGTGCTAACTGCACAATGTAATTTTTGTCTGGATTGGTCATATAGCAATGTATAAATTCACTTTTCACTGTCCCAGAAATGACGGGAATAACAACTCAAAATAGATAGATTATACAGTATTGTTATGCTTACATGGTCTACATGTGTTTCACTCCCGTGAGCTCCTGATTTTACACCTCTACTTTGCTCTACTATAATCTCATGAACAAACTGTTTATAGGTTGACCTTAAAACAAAACAAACCATACATGTAGAATGACTTCATTGAGCTTTACTTGAATACATCTATTATTATTTGGTGGAAACTAGCAGTAAACTAGTGTAAGCTGTGTCAGTGTTTCAAAAGAAACAGTTGAATGTGCAAAAAGATAAATTTTAACAAAGTAAAAAAAGGAGGTGGAACAACTTACTGACGTACGTTCCGGATGTTAATCTTTCGTCAGAGTGTATTATCATTAATAATTATTGTCTGCTTACCTTTGTGTTCCTAAGAATTTACTCCAAGACTCTCTTTCTAAGGGTAGGTAACCAAGCATCAACTGAAATCAATAACGAGAGTGATATAGATAGATAGATAGATATGTTTAATCGTATCTCTTGCAGTATAGACTGAATTACAGATACGGGTCAGAAACGATAAATTACACACTTGACAAGTCTACATACATACATATATGAGGAATAAATAATTCAGTGTTCATCAGTCCAATTCTCAGTTCCTAAAAGATATGTCCCAGGCATGCCTGTTCGTCACGAAATCCTTAAATCGGTTGGTGTTAGCCAATTTGATGTGAGTGACTGGAGCACGCAGATTGTAACGTGCGGAAGTTTGTTCTATCCTAGTGTATTCATTATGATTACTAGTGTGAAACAGTAAAACAAACATTTAATACAATTGACAAAGGATTTTTACAAAATTCAGAGTTCTCAACATAGTTGGTAGTCAGAGAAAATCACCGGTAGTTACTTGATGAAATTAATATTTGTTATTTTCTGTATTAATGCAGCTTCAGAATGTTCTACTTCTTTTGCTGGTGTAAATGTCTAGTTTTTCCAACTTAGGACCCTAAAATAATCTTTGTGTAGTTGTCTGATCATGACCATAATTGCTTATCTCTTTATATGTTTATAAGTCTCTTTATAATTTTCCTTTGACAAGTATGAATGCATATATTGAATTCCCACCTTCCAACAAAGAGCACGGATCCCTGAATCATCTGGTATACCTAGAAATTAAAAATAATGATTTAAGATAAAAGTAATTAGAAATGTTATAGTTTGATCAGAATAAATCATAAAAAAATCATCACTACACCACTCATTGTTTATCACATGATTAAAAATATCCTGGTGAATGATTATCATCATCATCATCTGGTTTCTAATGATGATGCTGATAATTATCATAAAATCAAGATATGCATTCAAGAGTCTAGWCGCAGCTCTTAAACACTAAAATGTTAGCTACGTATTTCTTGAGCCCGGAAATATGTCACAGTAATCCATGAACTGCTACACAGCAAAACTTGCGAAGGACATGGAAATGCCTTAGAATTGAATTAAATATAATTCGGGACAAAAAAGCATAAATTAAAACACTATATTTGATGGGAGTAATAGTTTAGCAACACATTGGCACTATATATGAACATATATATTGCAAAATATACAACATTTATCAGCTTAAAATCAACAATGAGTGAAATTTAACTTTWTGTACCATTGAAACACAGCATTCGTAGCCTTCTAATATTGATAACTTGCGCATTGAGGACAGTCTGGAACTCAGCCACCCTAGAAGAATTGAATATAGTTTWAGATATCAAGGATTTTCCGTAAGAGAAGCCAAACACTCTTCAAGAAGTAAAGTCCACGCACCTCTGTTTGTACGCCATATTGGATTAGTCTCGAATATACAGGAAGCCCGGTTGTAGCTAATTCCCACAATTCAAATGATAAGACATATAAGATAATAGGACTTTAATATTTATTTAAAATGTTTTAGCAATTTTTTAGCCATTTTTTTTAGTAATTTTTATGAGAAACGTGAGCAATTTTTTTCACTTGGRTATTACACAATTTTATATTTAAAATTTGGGGCAGTTAGATAGTAAAAAAGACCAAAGAAATAAAGGTCAGTGTTAATGCAGTTATTTTTGCTTTCCCTTCCCCCTTTTATACTATTTTAATGTAAATGTTTTTCTTTCTAAAACAGAAGGCTTACAGCGTTGGGATACCTTTATATCATGCATGAACAACCAATGAAAATCCATTAAAAAATCAGCCAATGAGAAATAAAGAACGTAACACGTGGATCCCTTGGTGCACCTGGCCGCTTCTCTTGTTTCTTTCTCTCATTCCGCGTGCTTTTCCGACATTTTGACTCAAAGGTTTACAACTTTTAAACTGAAAATACGTTTAGATWAACGTAGTTTATCGGAATTTGAGATTCAAAATTTACTCTTCAGTTCTTATTGAAGCAATTTGGATAAAAATTAACTTGTGAAATACGACCAGAGATGACCGAAACGAGCAGTGAAGAAAGACGCCAAAAGCTATTCGTCGGCGGACTCAGTCGTGATACAGAAGATGCAGGTTTAAGGAAATACTTTGCGGAATTTGGTGAACTGACTGACTGTGTAGTCATTCGAGATAGCAATACAAAAGAGTCTCGTGGATTTGGGTATGTAACGTTTAGTGATTACAGACAAACAAAGAAAGTACTGGAAGCCAAGCGAACTCAGGGYCCACACAAGATCGATGGCAAAGAGGTCGAAGTGAAAAGAGCGATACCTCGCGATGACAATAGCAGTACAGCCCACACCAAGACAAAGAAAGTTTTTATCGGAGGCGTACCAGATACYGCCAATGAAGAAGACATAAAAGCTGCAGTRACAGATGCTCTCGAATCAAGCGTYGTCTCGGTGGATTTGTTGAAGAAGAAAGATGACAGTGGCGGCCATCGTGGATTCTGCTTTGTTGAAACAGAGAATGAAGACGATGCAGATGAACTTTGCTGCATTAAAAAGGTCGAAATAAAGGGCAAAATGGTTGAAATGAAAAAGGCGGCACCCAAAGATAAAGATGGCGGTGGTGGTGGAAGGGGAGGTGGTAGAGGCGGAGGAAGAGGTCGAGGAGGATTTTCAGGGGGTCGTGGACGAGGAGGTGGTGGTGGTGGGTATGGAGGCGGTGGTGGTGGATATGGATATCAAGGATATGGTGGTGGGGGGTATGATAGTTATAATAGCAGCGGCTATGGTACTTACGATAGTGGGTATGGTTCTTATGGAACTGGAGGTTATGGTGGGGGATATGACAGTAATTACATGGGGGGGTATGGTCAGAGTACTTATTATCCTCCAAGTGGTGGAAGAGGTGGCCGAGGAGGTGGTGGTCACCGATATACTCCATACTAGAACCTCAAGGTAAGTCTATAAACCCTTTATGCTCATGAATTTTCTTCAACTTTCAAACACCCTTTCCTATCAAGGTRAGTTATGAAGTAATTCCACTGTGCGCTGCAGTTTGTTTTCTGTAGTAAATCCTATTTTTTTATTACAATATTATAAACAAGTTAAACTCAGGTGTCGGTTATCTCTGTTTTATATCTAGGTGTAAGAAAGATTGATTCCAGTTTAAGTCGTAGTACCTAGGATCAGGCTAAGTTAAGGCTTCCACAACTTAGCATCAGCAACTTTACTTCAGAACTTCAGAAGAAATCACCCAACCATCGATGCAAGCTAGGGCAGAACAAGGCTTAGGACTGTTTTTAACCAGTTTTAGTATTAGCTGTAAAGTTTTATCATTCAATTTTTCTATAATTCTTCTGTTTATTAGCACGCTAAGTTAACAAATAAAGTTACATATCCAGTATCGTGTCGTGTAAGTTTTTTGTGAATRAATTTGTAGCTAGCTATTTGTGTTAGATCAGAAATGTGTTTAAGCAACTAGAATGAAAGGAGTAAAGCCAGTGTTCTAAAAAGATACRTTTTTAAGCGAGAAAATTAAATATCTTGTTTTTGTTTAGCTTCTCAAATGAAAGGAGCAAAGATAAGCGTCTCAAACAAAATATTGAATTTCTTGCTGGAGGCATTGAATTTCTTGAAGCAAGAGTTGTGCTGCATTCTTGAATGAAAGAATATAAGCTATAAAGCTTTTAAAAGGAAATAAAAAGTAATGTTAAGATGTCTTTAAATGTTAGCAAGTCTTTGCAAGAATGAAACAAATTGTCGACTTGAGCAGTGGACACTGAAAGATTGATAAATCCCTTGAAATAAATATCCAAAGAGAATGTTATGAAAACATCAAATGTCAGAAATAATATTTTGATAACCAAGAACTGAAGATGGAAGTGTAGGATATATGAAAAGGTTGTGGTTGAAAGTCTAGGTAAGCATTCAACAATGGAAAAAAGTGAAGATAAGAATATTCATATGACAATTGCAAAAACAAAATGACGCATTAAATTGACTTGACAACAAGACCAAAGACAGCTAGGTGATTTTGACAGATGGTTGGAGATAGATCTCAAAATGACAAAAACAACAGTATAGGTTTATCATAAGAACTGTTTTATCTATTTCCATTCAAATATTTATGACAACATCAGATGGTGCATATTATGGATAYGTTTTTATCTGAGTGGAAGCCATTCTATGTTAACACTGTCTAAGATTTTTACTTGTRTTACTGATTAATTCGTAGGAAATAAGCTGTTGAAATCTGTTTCAATTTTGTTGTTTAAAAAGTACTAATCAGTTGACCCTTTGCTTTGGATGTGAGAGAAAAAGCTGAAGTACTGACCATGTTGGGTGATAGAATAAGWAGTGTTTTCACAGCATCCAGCATGATGAAGATGTGTGATGTACAAAAGCTCAAGAATTGTCTTCCACAGTATTACATAGCGCACTGAATTTGTTGATGTTGAGATAACATTGGAATTATATTTTATTTATTTATTTTTTCAATAGGCATTTTCTGAGATAGCATGTACTTTGCACTGCAKTGTGCTGTAGATTCAGTGCAAAAATCTGTTGTTCATGCTGCCAAATATAGTTGTTTGAACTGAGGCTAGACCAAAATGCTCCATTTATTTTGTACTTCAGAAAAGGTCTGTTGAGTTTTGAAGTTTTTATAATATTATCATGAGGGTGTCAATAAGAGGATGTTCAACTTTAAAATGCTGTTTTCCATTTATTACATAAAGACAAAAGTGGTACTTGTCAGTTTATCGGATAAAAACATTGAGTTGCAAAGGAAGATATTTTTTGAGAAATAATAGTGTGCGATCTTGTGACAGCTAACATGAAAAGGGGACATCTATTTTGTTCATTACAAGGTGAGTATTGGCKTATGTTRTTTAAATGTAAAAATGTCTTCACAAGAATACAGCACGTGATATCATATTCACATCAACAGACACTTCAAATAGTTAATTTAATGTAACATTATAAAACTTTTATAATGGTACATCAACATGATTTTGTTTGAAAATATGTGGATTTTGGTGAAAAAAGGAATAAATAAAATATTTAAACTTTGATTATAGTGTGTGGTATTTTGTATTTTAGTGTGCCAATTTCTGTGGTTTTAGCATAAACTCCAGAAAATTCCAGACAGTCTTGTCATTCCTCTTACCATGCTAACCCTAATGGACTATCTGGAAAGGGTGGGCTGGTAGAAAGTAATCAAGTTATTAGTGCAAGTGAATCAGACTCGTACCCAGTTGCTTCTCTAGAGCAAGGCGCAGTGCAGCGTAAAGTCAAGCGTAACGACTGGGTACGAGTCTGCGAGTGAATGCAGTTTGGTTGATGTATAAAAAATGGAAGCAGGAAGTCTGGCAAAATATTGTGCAACAATTTATGACATGAAATAAAGATTATTTGCCAGATTTGGAGTGATTTACATAGACCCATAAAATACAAATAGTTTGTATTGGGCTTCTGTGTTGTTAAACTATGGTGTAAATCACTCTAAAATTTCAGAGGGGACATGAAAACTGATGCTTTGATCTATTTAAAATACATTCCAGCAATTGATTTGAAAACAGACAGGTGACTTTTCTTGGACTTATTTAACCTAGCAAGCATTGTTTCCAGGTTTATCTCCAACTTTTGAGGAGGCAAGGAGGGATGTCACAGGAAATTTGTCATGTTTCAAAGGCATTGTTTCTGTTCAAAAAACCGTTATGACAGAAAAGGGCAAAAGAAATCAAAGAACAGAGGAACTAAA